TTCACTATATAGCATTTCCCCTACTATTTTTTAAGTAGCAGGTAATATACAGTATATACTGGGTAGTAAGCAGTACACTGTAGCAATTCAAGCAATTACGAGTCTTGTAAACGAGGTGAGACATTTTTGGAGTTGTTCTAGTGTCAGTTTCCACTGCTCATTTTCTGTTTAAACGCTCTTGTATCTGTGTCTCAGGGGATGCTGGGTCAGAGATCCCAGATCTGTAGAGCTGCGGTAAACTTCTTTGAATCCACCATTGTGATCTTCCTTTAGACCACACGCGTGCACGCTGTGTTTCTGAGCGTTAATTAGCGGGAACCTGATGATAAGACCATGCTAATTTTCTCTCGTCTTATCTCATAAGGACTCTGCGGTGGATCCGGCTCGTTGCTGTTACAAGATACCGAGCAACATGTGTCCACATTTGATCTCTCGACAGATGTGAGTAAGCGTGTGCATCTTTGATAAAACTGCAGGGCCAAAAACCTACTGTACGCAAGCAGACTAATGCAAATGGAGGGTGTTTCGGGCCCGTAGAGGGAAAACCGAAGCCTCGATTTGCATTCAGCTTGCAGAAAAGGCTCTGATAGAGTCTTAGTTTGATGCTTAATTAGTTGCTTGTCATGTCAAATTATGCTTTTTATTCACAGCGACAAACTTCACTGACTACTGCACCGGTTCCTCTGAGGACATCTGCGGTCTTCCTCATATGCACGATGACGCTAGCATGCAGGAAAGAGAAAATAAATGAGATCTCTTTAATATTTCAATTATTTCTTCTAGACGGCAATACAATTACAGTACATGGATCTACTTCTCAGATGTTTCTCCTGAGAAAATGAGACAGGTTGAGAGGTTTAATAATGTGCTCAGATACCAAAGTTTGCCATCAATTGATCTGAGCTGCTCCACATTCATTTTATAGCTTTGCATCCTTAATGTATGATAGCTATTGACTTTTGATTTTTTTTGTATAAACCTGCATTTTTTGCATTAGCAGTTCTAAACAGCAGTGATTACATAATCAGATTCCAAAATGTTGTACTTGTAATTACGGTAGATTATATAACATTTTAAAATTCTTATTATCAGATTACAGTTACTTTGGTAACACTTTAGTATAGGGACCAATTCTCAGTATTAACTAGATGCTTATTAGCATGCCTATTATTAACATATTGGCTGTTTGTTAGTACTTATAAAGCACATATTCTGCATACATCCCTAATCCTAACTAATACCTAAACTTAACAACTACCTTATTAACTATTAATAATCAGCAAATTAGGAGTTTATTGAGGCAAAAGTTGTATAGTTAATGGTTTGTCAATAGTGAGAATTTGACCTTAAAATAAAGTGTAACCGTTAACTTTATTATGGATTACGTGATTACTAATTATTCACACAATGGAATTAAATTATTCATCATTTATTGATGCTCCCTAATTATTTTCTTAAGTTTAAATGTGATGCAGTTATTCCTGGACTTTTTGTCAGTCAAACCAGTTTGACTTCAAATATTTACTTGAAGTTCCCCTGAGATTAAAAGTTAATATTTCATAATATTTCATTATTTAATTTAATAACACATTTGCATGCTCCCAGATGTAAGTTAATTGTCATACTTTTTTTTTTTTAATAACGATAATCCCATTTAAATCTATTAACAAGTTATGTCAAAAGTAATCTAAAAGTAATCTTTGATCTCACATTCTCCTATATTTTAGTTCCTAGACACGGTCGTAGATTTGTGTTGGTCTATGGAATATTTCAGTCATGCTAAAATACACACAAAACATAGTAAAGGGTGTTTTACACATAGATATGTATAGATGCCCCATTTGACCACTCCAAGCACGTAGACACGTCCGCCATCTTGGAACGGTCAACTTGAGATCATTCACCATATTATGGGTTCACAGACCATCGGCTGTGCAGGATTGTGGCATCTTCGAATATTCATTGGTTTCTATGGTGAATGATGTCAAGCTGACCATTACAGTATGGCGGACGGCTTACATATTGCGGCCCATAGAAACAGTTGCTAATGAGGCATCTACGTATAAATGTCTATGCTTTTACGCTCTTAAAAATAAAGGTTATTTTTGGCTTCTGTGGTTCCATGAACAACCTTTAACATCCATGGAAGCCTTCCATTTCATAAAAGGTTCTTTATGCTCAAGAAAAGGATCTTCAAATTATTAAAATGTTCTTTACGGAGGGAAAAAAGGTTTCTTGAAAAACTGTTCAATGAAGGGTTCTTTAGGGAACCTAAAATGGATTTTCGTAAACCTCCCTTTGGAATCTTAATTTTTAAAAGTGCATGCTCTCCTTTTCATGTCGTACCTTCTGTAAGAACCTGTGGTGAAATCACTTTTTTGTGGCTCGGTGCTTTAATTAGTAGTCATACTGAAGTCTGACACCTGCAAAGTTTGAACTTTTGAATTAGTCAGCAAGTGTTCTCAGTTTATCAATCAAGCAATACGCAGTTATCAATGCTGAAATGTTTACAGTCCAGCAGTGTATGTAGCTATAGGAGGTCCCATGGAGGAACAGCTTGTGTGGGCGCACCATCTTCACAGCTGAATATTCCTCTGTGATTAATTACGTATTTTCAGGGAGCTGAAATTTCTGCCTTATAATTCCTTAGCCAATGTCAGTGCTGACGTTATCTGTCAGGGATCCTTTTTTTTTTTTTTTTGCTGAGGTCGCAGTTCTGAGGTGGGAGCAGTTAAAATCTAATGGACAATCCGTCCTCCCACTGTGCGTCTGTCTCTCTCATGCATGCTGATTGACAGAAAGACAGCACTCGTTTGCCTCCGGACCAAAGAGCTCATAAAATGAGACAGGTTCCTCAAACTCTTCCTGGTTGTCTGCAAATTACATGCGCACTTTACTTTTGAGAGACATTCTACAAAACGGGATTTCCACTAAAATGACAGCTCTATTATTACTTTAAGGTAAATAAGGTTTCTTATGAATGCTTTTTTTTTTTTTTTTCATTAATGTGAATAAGAAAACCAAAGTTTTCAAGCCAGGGACATAAAACATGGCGTTTAAAATAAAATAAAATAAAAAATTAAAATAATACATATACTTTCTATAACTGGTTATATGGACATGGAAAAAAATGCATATGTTCCTTTATTTATGTAAAATAAGGCTATCGTTAAAATTTTGCACAGAATGAGTCTTTATGAGCAATTGATACGTTTAAGCTTGAACACTTAAGTTTCATGGTTACTTGTTTGATGGAGATAAAAAAAAACCCAGAGAGAATCTTTATTTTACAATCTGTCCCTAACAGCATATGAACACAGCATATTATTCCTAACACAATGTTATTATTATTAGTTCTTTCTCATTAGCACCTTTCCTTGTCTATTTCACTCCTTTAGACATCTAGATTGCATCGCAATAACAGTCTGAATTTCATTTTAATGTTCTCTTCATAATGTTCTTCTCTTTGATATTTATATTATTTTGCTGTCCAAAACATCCGAGTTCAAGACTCATCTCAATAACGATGAGTCAGGGTTTCATAATCTTTTCCTGAACTTTCTGACTTCTTAAGAAGTCTTAAATCTAGGTCTTATATCTATCTGCCTGTCTTTAATTATTCTGTTATCGTAGAGTATCAAATCTCAGCTGAAAATGCTCTGTAGGCCTACAGCATATTGAACGAGTTGAGTCACATTTCATGATGTATCACATTGCGTACTGTTCCTGTGTATGTTCTTGTTGATCCAGGAATCGGGAAATGCTGAGGGTCAGGGGCTTGCACAACAAACCTATCATTTTGATTTCATGGGTAGTTAATTGGTTGGATGAATCTCACGAAAACTACCAGAAAATGCCCCTTTAATTTTCTACCAGATAATACAAAGAAAGAAAAAAAAGAAAGAAAGAAATTATATTCTGAATAATGAAAACTAGGCCACTGGCTCATATCTGGCATAGAATGTTCACTTCTCACAATCCAATCAATTCCTGTCTCAGGTTTTTCCTCATACTGAACATCCAGTTTCACTCAGAAGCGGTTGTCAGTGGCACTACATATAGGCTAATTCAGATAACCTTGCCCCTTAAATGGCCCCTATAGGCTACTGAATTGTGATTGACTACTTAAGCCTACATGTCAGTCAGTGGGTGGTTCTTGACCGAAATAAGCTGTCACAACACAGATATTATAGTTATATAGATTGTTCTGTATCATGCTTTTGCGTAGTGCACATACAGGGACGATATGTGTAATACGAATGTTGATTGCAGGCAGAATTATAGCCTTAGAATTACAGAATTACAGCTGATAATGTTAAATCAGGTTAGAACAGCCCTGCATTGGTTGTTTTTTATATTCTTTAAGTCCCTGCTCCGATATTTGCACGCGTCATCCAGTCTTTCTCAGGAATTAGCGCGCTTGAAAAATTCAAAAGTTAACTGTCACAACGGCCATCTTCGTTTATCGATGGATGTGGATGTTTTATCTTCGTGGATGTTTATTGTGAGATAAAATGTATATGTGCGAGATTTTTTTAAATATTTGACACAGTTGATCATATTTGTAAGAGTATAACCACAAGATTGTAGACTAAAAATAGAGATAAGTCGAGAAATCACCGCCGAACAGTACATTCTTACTACCTGATGATAATTTGCTGCTTTTAAAAACTAGATTGCACTGAAACCTGTAAATAATAAGATAGTCAACGTACAGTTCTGTGTTTTCCTGACAGGAATGTTGATCAAGGAACATGTCTCGTGTGTTGAAAGGCTGTCCATGACACTAATGCAGTTGTAGGAGAGGTCGTGTAGGTTGCTCAAGCCTGCAGGTATGCGTGTGTTTACCCGAGACGGGTTTGTAATTACCTGACTTGTAGAAGAACAACGTTCGAGAGAAAGAGAGAGAGAGAGAGAGAGAGAGAGAGAGAGAGAGAGAGAGAACGGGATCGATGGAGGCGGGTCACAGCGGAGCGGAGGAGCATCTCTCTTTCAGCTCTGTTCGTTTCGGAGGCGCCGTGACGGACATCCCGGAGTCGAGCGCACTGGACTCGTAAGTTCGGTCCTTTTTTGCATTGTTAAATCCACTTTGTATCTTCTTCATGAATGAATGTGGGATGTCAGAGATAACATGAGTAGATTGTAATGTAATATGTGAGTATTTATTCGCTTTACTACACTGTAAAAGTGTAAATGTGCAGGCATTACCTTAAGGGGATAGATGTAACCGACATGGCTTTTAAAAATGGAGTTTTACTGGTGTCATCCAACGTAGTCCTTGATTAATTAATGTTAAATCATATTTTTGAAACCTGTTAATTTGAACGTTACCACATGAAACACGTTTAGGTTTACTTGACGGAAGCCCCCGCTTTTACATATCAAGTTATTTGTTTTATTTAACGTCAGTACTGTTGAATGTTTAATTGATTTTATTAATTAATTTAATTTCAATTTCAATTTATTTGTTATTTCTTGAACGTGAATGTGTAAACTGTTGACATGTAAAGAGATTTTGATTTCTTTTAATATCTTTATATTTTATGCAGTATATGATGCTGTTATACAACAGATTCACACCAATAGATTCAGTATTCATAGCTTTTTATAAGCATGTGTTGACAGTCTTTGTGTTAACTTAGTATGAATTTTTGTTTCTGTCAAGAACATATAATTCATTTTGCTTGAAGAAACGAAACTAGGAGATGTGTGCTGTCCATGGTGCTGAAATCATGTAGACTAGCTTTTTCGGACATTAACTGAGAAGAGTTTCATTGCTTTCCCTCTCATATTTTGTTTTTCAGATAAACACAATGTAGTCAGTCTTGAACAAGTAGATTTCAAGTTTGAAAACCTTTTTAATCCATCCACTCAACGTGAAATGGGCATTGTGTAATTGTTGGTCTGACTCTGTAAGCACTTATGCCTTAAAGAATGAGAGTCTTAGGGAGGAGGACTGTTGAAATGATGCTACACGGAGATGGAGAATGGAGGACCCACAAGAGTGCATGACAAGCGGGTCAGTGCTGGTTTGAAGAAATCATAAAAAGAGGAGAAACGCATATCACCACTTGAAGCCATGGGGATACGACACCTCCTGCTTCTTTTGGTCTATCTAGACCCACTGTGCGTCCTGAGCGCATCCACGGCCAAGCGGAGCAAACCCCCTCCAAAGAGACCCCCCAAAGTAAAGGAGGTCAACAGCACTGTTGCTCCGACAGTGGCACCCCAACGGATCACACAAGTCCAGGCACCCATCATCGGTGATCATGACACCTGTCTCGGCTACTACGACGTGAGCGGTCAGTTTGATAAAGAGTTCTCCTGCAACAACACTGACCACCGGTACTGCTGCGGGAGCTGCTTCCTGCGCTTCTGCTGTCCCGTGAAAGCCAAACGGGTGGATCAGAGAGTCTGTACCAACTACAACACGCCCGACTGGATCAAAACCCAACCGCCTTCACCCGCACCCACAGGGGACACGTACGACCCAGCGCTGGACCAGACCAACACCACCGTCTACATCACCTGCGGGGTCATCACCCTCATTATCATCCTGGGGATTTCTGCCAAAGTGGCCTATGACAAAGCCACCAGACCACCTCAAGAAATGAATGTCCACAGGTAAGCCCAAGAGATGTCTTTGGAAATGCAAGCTTAATTTAATGCATAGTGTGTGACTTAGTGATTGTATAGAAGTGAAGTAGCCTGGTTCAACCACCCCAGGGCTGGTTTGTACTATGCAAAAATGTGCAGTTTTTACATTAAAAGGATAGTTCACCTAATATTTAAAATTCTGTAATCATTTACTTACCTACCCAAACCGGTATACATTCTTTCTTCTGTGGTACTTTCAATGGGGTCCATTTATGTTTGGACCCCAGTGTTCTTCAAAATATCTTCTTTTGCAATACTTAGAAGATAGAAAAGTCATACAGGTTTGGAACGATGTGAGGGTAAATAATGACAGAATTTTCATCTTTGGGTGAACAGTCCCTTTAAGAAGTTATTTCTACCTTAACATACTTTTGTGTTTGCCTAAAATATTAGCCCATTAACTCCCAATTACATTCTCAAAATTCGGAAATTATGAGGATATAGCCATCAAAAATATGAAAAGGGTGTATTTTTTTTTTTCTCATTAGCATTTCAAATCAATTTATTCAGATAAAAGTGGGTAAATTCAGATAAACACAGTATGTTTTAGAGACACCAAAACTGTTTGAAGAGCACAGACTGTGTAAAATAAGAGTGATTTGTCATTTTTAGTGAATGAGGCTGAATGAGGAAAGCAGAAATGAACGAGACCTTTTAACACATTTCTTTTATAACATACAGTACATAAACTAGACAGTAAGTGAAAGCTTTTGCGGTCTTGATCACAAAATAAGCACTGGGTTCTGGGTTAAGATGGAATATTAATAGTTAATTGCATACTGTATTAAATCTAGGACTCATCTGCGTCTAGGAGGGATTGATTCTGGATTTCATTAGTCTTGTGCTGAGATAGAGGTCAACAGGAAACCGTCGTAGTAGAAGGGAACTAGGTCTTCATGGCGCAGTTTGTCAATAAGACAGATTTATATTGCTTTGGTTTGTCAGTGTCAAAAAAAGAGAAAGGTTTCTTTGGTTTTGAAGGTCAAGAAAATGTTGAATTTTCATAGTAAAAATGACGTAACACTGACTTCATAGCCATTTTAGCCAGTCACCTGGCAAGTCAAAGTCATTCAGAGCTGTTAAGAGTATTAAAGATGGCACATTGCTCTTCTCTTATCGAACTGATCCATGTTGCAAATATGAGTCAAGCTCAGACAGTCTGATAAGCGTTTGGCTGGCGCTCACAATGAGGTTTATTGGATTTGTGAATACCGAATGACATTCTGTACAGCCGGTTGACACTTGTGAGCGGCATACTTAAAATGAACAATCTGTTGTTATTTACTCATGGCATTCCAATGGAACGTTCTTTCTTCACTGGAAACCAAAGCAAAGTGACCAAGGGCTGATGATGAGCCCAAAGAAAACACCATAAAAGAAGTCCATTGGACTTAAGGCTGGAATACACTACACGACTTTTAAAATCTGAACAGATTTTTAAAACGCTATCATACACTTATGTAAATGGTTACAGAGGAAAAACTGGCTATCGTACACTACACAACTAAGGATCACACACTACCAGACTTTAAAGTCGTTCTGAACACAATGAACACATGACAAATCAAAACGATTTTCATTCTAAAATCGGCTCAGGATATCAAACATGTTTGTCTGTGACCATCATACACTATGAGATTTTCTATGAAATCTGTCAACTCAAATCTGCAGACTGACTCTGACTTTCGGCAACTAGTGTCAATATGTCCAGACTGTAAATCGGGGCAAAAATCTTGTAGTGTATTCCAGCCTTTATCTTCTACTTTCCAAGTCTTCTGAAGTCAGTTAAGTTATTAAAAATTCAGTCTTTCCTCGCACAAAACTATCATGTCTTCAGACGTCTTGAAATGTAGACCACAAGCCACATGAGCTACTTCTATGGTGCTTGACAATCTCTGATCACTATGAGTCAGTCATTGATTGCATTTATTGTGTTGATTTTTACATTTAGAGGCCCTGAGCATTTATATATTTCCCTGAACTGACATTGAACATTTCTTAGAGGGTTTTGGGGCTAAACTCCCATCTTAGATCTGTCTTGTTCTCCATCAATACTTGCACAATTTTTGACAAACCGTCCCTGCTGCTCACTGTCTCACAGAGACGCCAGTGAAATTTCATACTACAGTGTGAGCCGTGAGGGTACAGAATGTTCCAGAACATTTGTTTTAACATTTCCACCCTTTGAATCCGCTCGGCTTCATTTAGGCTGTGTGTAGAGGGTGGTAATTTGCACCAAAATACAGTTAAATATGTTATGAGTGTGTTTACCCAGGGGCTCAGATGTGTAGTGAAACCGCTCCGAGTTGGAAGGCTCTTGATGTGTTTTGTGTGTTTGAAGAGCACAGGCGCATGAAATGCAGTTTCTCTGAGGAGAACGTCTGTATGACTAGAGATGAGACCTCGGTCAATGAGGGACAAGATCTGTCTCACGCCTCTCTGGCTGATTCATTATGAATCGATTATGAGGACTATAGAGTTTTTGTAAGTAGTGCAGTATGGCTTGGTTGTGGTTTGACCTCATGATCTATAGTTATACTTGAGACTGATGACAAAGTGATGACTAAAGTATTTTAATTACCTCATTCTGGGTAAAAAATGGATTAGCTCAAATGGATCATGGGTTGTAATTCATGCTAACTTATGACTCATAAGAGCCCAACTACTATTGTGTTACATAATTCCTATTTTTCAAAGCTTATTTGGGTGAAAGTCGTATTAAAAGTAATAAAAAAATAATATATTTATTTATATGAAAATATCGAAAAAATATGTATAAACACCTACATCAAAAAAAAAAAAGCACCATTATTTTTATGGTAATTGAGCACATTTCCCTTTTTTTAATGTGAATAATTCCCTATTATTTTAATTATAAAGTAATGTATAATGTAAATTGTTTGACATCATTATATAATTGTTATATGGAATTTAACAAAATTTTGTGTTAATTTTAATATTAAATATACATACATATTGTGTCTGAACAAGATTTTATTTGGTGAACATGTGCTTAATTGTCTTAAAAATAATCAAAATCTTAACTCTTACAGCTCCTAGAAATGTATTTTTTATTTAGGCAAAATATATATTTTTATAATTCTGGAGTGAAATATGACCTGGAATTTTCTTAATGAGATTCACCCACTTTCATTTGCTTACTTTCCTTTTTGGACTACTTGCTCCGAGAGTTTTTTCTTCATCTTAAACACAAAACATAGTTGTCAATTCATCAACAAGCCTGTATCTCTTTCAGCTATTTTCTCTGCATCACAGTGACGTGACATATGAGGAGTTTCTTTGATTATAATGCCGTCTAATTGTCTGGTGTTGATGACATAATCAGGAATGTGATTGGGCAAGCAGCTGCAGTCTTGTCCGATCGCATCTTCCCTGTGTGATGAGTCTCCAACTCTTAGCTACCCAGAAACCCCTGCTGTGTCTCAGCGTGTTGTCTCTCTTTGTTTAAATATTGATGCCGCTGTGCTGTCTTAGACACCTGCTGAAATGGCCAGGGAATGATCAGCCTGTGGGAGAAAACATCAGAATCAAGAAAAGTCCTTGAGAGAAATTCAGCAGTCAGGAAATAAGGCAGAAAGAACATGACTTTGCTAAAAAAAAAATCATAAATTAAAGTTCAGACCTAATGAGTGCTGGTGCCATGAATATGTGATAGTCTCAGCCTCAGACGTCATGCCCACGGACTGCTGGCTGAATGTCTGATGCATATGGCACACAAAAGTGGAAACACTTCAGGAGTTTCGAAGTCGTCATCGGATTGGTTGAATTATACAGGATTTCCGGTAGACGTGTGTGTCGCATTCTTTAACGTTCTGCCTGGAAACAAATATGCCGTGACGCCAAACCCCCTCACGAAAGAAGAAAGCCGTCGTGTTAACAACTGTGACAACGAGCGCTTATCCGGATCAACTAAACACTGGATTTTCAAAAGTATGTGAAATATTCGTCACCGGCGAACCAGCTGCGGGCAATCTGATTAGCTTGATTGAAAACTCCCAGAGTGCTTTTCACTGGACACAATAGGCATTCTGTTCTCTCGCGGCTGTGTTTGAGTTTCCCCGTGACAGTGATGTGGAGGGTTTAAAACGCTCTCGGGTCAGAAATGAATCATTATATGCTTATAGAGCTCAGGAAGTCACTTGGTGCTAAAAGTGCAGGATGTGAAAACCAACTCAAATCTTTTCAACAACTGCTAAAGCGGATAGAGAGGATTCAGTTTGGCCTCCTAGCGCTGTTGCATGACGTTTTCAGATTGAATCTTTAAAAGGTTAGTTCTCTTAAAAGTGACAAAATATTTTTTTTTGTCATAAAAATTTTACATGGATTTTGATATATATATATATATATATATATATATAGAGAGAGAGAGAGAGAGAGTTCAGATGCAAAAGCCTCTAAGTGCTGTTTGAAATCTTCTTCTAAAATTAGCATTTTTCAGGCTCCTATGTTTATGTTCAGTTATTTCACTTTAATGGCTATGAAAAGAACCTATTCATTGCCATTCAATTGAAATTACCGAAAATATATATATACGTAGCAGTAACTTTTTGCGATATTGACACGTTGAATCCACCTTTTGCCGAACTTGTTCTTCTCCCTTTTCATATCACATCGGAAAGGCATGTATTTTCAATAAAAATGAAGGAAATATGCAAAAAGTGGAAAATAAAGTGCCTCATGGGTCTTTATCTGATAGGATTAGGGGTAAGTGTAGGGAGGGCCTTATTGGTCCAATAAGTTTAATAAAAATGATAATTTACACTCAATACTTTATTAGTGCATACTGTTTTATAATTTACTACAATAATGAAGTGACAATATCTGCCACTATTTGCAGATATAAACTACTATTTACATTTATTGTAAAGAAAATACTGCTATTTTTATGAAGTATAAATAGAATCTGTTGCTATTTGGTCTTTGTTTAAATAGGATATCGCTAAGAA